AGTCCATAACTGTCGATGTTATCTATTAGGCACTAAGTACATAGCTGGCAATGCTCATCTATAGGGCACTAAATTCATAGCTGCCAACTTTCATTTATAATGCACTAAGTCCATAGTTATCAAGGTTTTTAAGAGTATATCTGATGAACACGTCGTTCACGAACACCTACAGGTTGGTAGCCTGCTAGCGTTCCACTAGACTGTCTAGAATAGTCTGTGGTCGTCATCTATACTCTACTAGATGATTGGATCATCATTTAAGTCAAGGCTTCTCATAATCTATATCATCTTTCTTCTCTCATCATCCATATCATCTTTCTTCTCTCATCATCCATATCATCTTTCATCTATCCATCTTTACCCGATATATTTATAGGTATAAAAATACATATACATTTTAAATCAAGTAAAGCATGTATAAATCGTTCATCTAGCATAGATATTAGGAACCCAGATAATAAACACATATAGCATGTATTGGTATTAAATATTTCATATCTATGTGTAAGATGAAAGTAACTATGCACTCACTTGTTAAAGTGACGACTCGAAATTCGGGTAGCACTTTACTTCTAGCAATTGTCTTTTCTTTTGACGAAACCTAGTATTATTATCACTAGGTTTTAGTCTAATATTTATTGCGACTAATTATTAGTCTAGATTAATCATTAACTCAAAGTCTACTTCAAGACCTATCAAGTAAAGAATAAACATGTAGGATCATATCGGAGATAGGGTCTCGCTCTTTGGTATACGAAGTATATTGTTTGGAAATCTCACTTTAAACACCTCACTAAATCTTGTTTATATGTTCATAATAACGACTTGGAATCATTGATAAATCTTGTTTATATGTTCATAATTACGATAATGAACTTAAACAAAAGTTATACTTAAAGTATGATAAACATAACTCACTTATAAAAACTGTTGCGTGTGTGTTATGTGACGTAACATTTGACCCTCTTCTTTAAACCCTTTCCCACCTTACTTTAAGTTGTATTATCCAACATAAATTTTTTCAGCATGTTTATTATTTTAATAATATTACGAAGGATATTATTAACAATTCGACTATATTTTACATATTTTTAAAACTGTTTGGTAAATTTTATATAAATATTTTTTTGTGTTACATTGTCTATAACAAAATATTAATAAATTATAAATCACTAAAATTATCAAATTTATTGAACCTAACCCAAAAAATAATTATCGTCTTCGAAAATTTAACAAAATGAACATGTTCGCTAAAGTAACAATTTTATTTAATGCTATTTAGCAAATATTATGTTTATTTATTTTATATGAACGTCTTTAAAAATCATATAATCATAGTGATCTTAATTTTTGATTTGCATATGATTAATATGTAAAGGAACCGAACGTTCAGTGAACTGTTCGTGAATCGTTCGGTGGGAAGTTCGTTTATTTAATAAAGGAACGAACATAAACACAAATTCTCGTTCGTTTAATTAAACGAACGAAAATGAACAATGATTTTGTTCGTTTGATTATGTTCGTTAATATTCGTTTATATAAGTTAATTTTATGTTCATATATGCTTAATTGTTTTTGATTACATTACTATATTATATGTTCATATAGGATTTTTTTTTTTTTTAAATCTTTGTTCATTTATGTTCATTTAGCACGTTCACGAACATAAATGAACAATTTAATTTGTTAAACGAACGAACATGAACACGAAAACTCATTCATTTATCCGTCTGTGTTCTTTTATTTGTTCGACTAACTTATAGGTACGAACATGAACAAGCCTTCGTTCGTGTTTATTCAGTTCGTTTACAACTCTACATATGATTAAACTAGATAAATTATTGATTTAGGTTGTGTTTGGCATGCTACAGCTAGCTTGTTCTTTGACTTTTTTTAAGTTGTTATGATTAACAAACCAAAAAGTAACTTATAAGTTAGCTTTTTAAAAAGCTATTTAGCTAACTTTACCAAACATTATTTTTTTATTAGCTAGTTTTTCAGTTATGAACTAGTTTTTTTATTTAACAGCTAACATTTTAGTTATCAACTAGCTTTTCAGCTAGTACGCTAAACATAGTTTCAAAATTATTTTTAACTATTGTATGGTTAATTTCAGTTTATTTAGCAACCTGCAAACGTTAAAAAAACAAACAATCCTTTTATTACAAACTACAACCCTTTAATCCACTTCTTCTGTTGCAGGGATTGTAGCTGATATCCGCATAATTCAAACGTTTTTTATTCGAAAAAACAAACATATGAATGTATGATACGCATACACATATTTTCAACCAATTCAAATCGGCTCAAATAATTATAATTTCTAAAGATTAAAATGATGGGTTTATGGTGATATGAATCTTATCGTAAAAGAATAATAATTGAAAACCGATCATAAAGTGTGTTGAAAACGGACTAATCATGTTGTAGATGAGTGTTTGAAATTTTCTTGGGTTTGGTAAACTACGTAGAAACATTCAACAATTTATTTCAACCCATTGCAGAAAAAAATAGTAATAATAAATGACAAGTCAAAATTATTAACTTTTTGTCCACAAAAAAAAATATATATATAAGTATCAGTTGCTTTCATTATTCGAAATGATAATATAAAGTTGAATAAACGTTCAATCAAAATTTAAGTATTTAAATATTTCTAAGTTGTCAATTTACGGTTAGCAAAATGGTAATTGGAGACTTTTTTTCAGCTAGAAGCCTTTGACTTATTTGTGTCTAGAGAATTTGTGATAACGTCTCGAAACCACTGAAGTCAATAGGTATATGCATTAGGTTAGATGAGGATTAAAACAAAATCAAAATTCAAATTATTATTTTTATAAATGATATTTAAAATCAGTTTGGTTTTAAGTCGAACTACACCGTGTTATAAATTATAAACCTAGAAATCATTTTGATTTAATGATTTCAAGATTTATAAAAACCGAGCTAGACCAAAAACATGGTTAAAAACAAAAATTTATTCAACCAAGCCACCAAATTTACAAAACTGTAATCAACATGTTCTAAAAAGTAAAAACTACTGCCAAGGGCAAAATGGTCAGCACACAACACCAAGTACATGATACTTTCAGTAGATTTTGACATAGTTAAGTGTGACTATACAAGAAACCTAAAAAACATGTTTACGCAACTCCTATCATAATAATCAAGTTGAAGTTATTCCTCTTTTATACTCAAACTTCCTCCACTTCTAGTTCAAAGTCATCAATCTCCTTAAAGTAAGCTCTTTGCTGCTCAACAAATTCTTGTGGTAGCACATATTCTTCAACACTCTCCTTTGATGACCATCTTTTCTGTAAAAAAAAAAAAACATAGGTTACACTTTGCTTACTTGTTAAAGGGCAATTTAGTGATTTCATTATTAGTCAAAGATACCTTTTTATTGGGAGGGGGCTCTGTTTGTAGCTTAGATTGGAATGTATCTTCTGTTCCATCAGCTTGATTCCTATTCAACCAAAAAGCATCAATATTATCACCAACGAATGATGAAATACTACTAGCATAAATTAGATTTAAGTTATTAAGTTATGATATAAAAGAGAGAAAGAGACCTATTGATTGCAGTTCTCAAAAGAGGAGGACAGCTACTTTCTTTATTTTTCTTCAGAGTGCGATGATATAGAGGGGTAACAACTACATTTCTTTCATCTTTTTGAGAAAGATCAAAATGGGTAGAAGAACCTGTAACCCTTTCCCCTTTCTCCTTAATCTTCACACCAGAAGAAGGTGCAAGAACTTCCATCATCTTAGTCTTCATCATAGGAGGATAATTAAAAGGGACTGCAATTGACTTTCCTTTATCCTTTCTCTTCATTGAAGAATGTGACAAGTTGATATTTGTGTTCTCCAAGTGAGGATAGCTAGATTGAACAGCATTTTCTTTCCCTTTATCTTTTATTTTCATGGTAGAATCAAAAAGAGGAGTGTCCATGATATTCTTTGTGTTCTTCATATGATGGGCGCTAGATGACACATCAATTGCCTTCTGTTTGTCCTTAATCTTCTCCATTGAAAAGCAATTAGGGGCCATGAACGTCTTATTCCCATCATAAGTGGTTTTCTGTACAGAAGACTGACTTCTGTTCACCAATGTAGAAGAAGAAAGAGGCACAGATAGTTCCTTCCTTTTGCTCCTTGTTTCCTGGGAAGATGTCTGATAAAAAGGCACATCAGCCTTCACCTTGATTAAGGTTTTCCGGGTGTTCCTTCTTTGAGTATATGATAACTCATCTCCAACCAAATGAGCTAAGCAATGCAAATGTAATACTAGGTCATAATCTTATACTTAGTCATATTCAGTATCAGAAGACACAAAAGTACATCTTGATATTCAGAATTGTAGCATATAAATTGAATCTGTATCGGTCCTGCTAACAGTAGAAGAGCATCTGGCGTATACAAATTTGATTTCAATTTGAATCTGTAGCAAATCTTAATCTTAGTCATATTCAATTTCCTAATACACGTACACGTTACCCAAATCTAGATTTCGATTGGAAATCGACTTGACTAAGGTGATTCCGCTAACAGAAAACCCGACATGAACAATTGCATGTAGTGAAAGATACATCTGGACATGCGTCTTTGAAAGGGAGAGAGCGTACCTGGCGTGAGTGTCGGAGGTGTAGAAGGAAGAGGTTGGTCCGGCGAACTGATAAGTGAGTGGTTCTCATGGATGGGGTTTTGCGTGGATCCGATACTTGAATCGGAGGCGGTGGAAGATCCGGGTCTCTTCGCTTGTGAGAATGGAGAAATTGGGTAGGGTTTTCGGACGATGTTAGTGAGATTAGCAAAGGGTTTTCTCTTGATTGATGATCTTGTCACCATATTTCGTTGTTTCTCTAGTTCAGCTTCCTCCATTACTTTCCATTCGGTACAAGTCTCTTATATGAAGATCCTATGCAAGCTTGTTAGAGACGCTAGAAGAGAGGAGATTGTAAGAGAAGCTTCAACTGACAATGGCGGGATTTTGGGTGTAATTTGAAAACCTAGCTCCTGTCTTGGATTAGATCAGATATAAGCCCATTATTAGTATTTTCTTTTGCTTGGGCTCCATAGGCTATAGGCTTACTATCTGACATCTGTGGTCGATTGGGAATTTGGGCCAACTTTAAGGATCCAAGCACCCAGATCCGGATTCGGCTAAATTTACCCCGACTTGCCCTGTTTTGCCAACCAGGTGAGGTCTAGGCTGCTCTCCTCTATCTCTCTGGTTTCTGCTGATCTGCTCCGCCTCCGCACGACTGCAAGAACTGCCGCTGTCGCCTTCTGCGACCTCTTTCTTCCGTCTCCTTCGGCTATTCTATCTACCTGTAGTGTTGCCTCCCTCTCTGTCGCACAAAGGGGTTTTTCCTGTTTGCAGTTCCAATCGTGATGCGTGGTTTAGCAGCTAGGATCAACTACGTAAGTCCCTGTTCTCTAATGTATTCATTGATTCTTCCTAGAAATGGTTTTGAAATTTTGATTTGTGTGATTTCGGAGTTACGTGAACTGAATCTCCATTATCGCGCATCCTTTGAGTGATGATTAGCAGTTTATTAATTTGTTTATCTTTTTATATTCTGAATTCCTTGAATTCTCTAATAATTCCATTATTTTCTGCTTAATTGCAGTATTTGTGCAGAAGAAGACCTGTAAATGTTCGATCACGCCAGTATTCGTCATCATATCACGAAAGAGGTCATCCACTTCTGAACTATGAGCTTAGTTGTTTTAATTGTTTTGAAGTTGAATCCACCCAATAAATTTTCTCAAAACGCCTAGAATCCACAGAAATGCTTCAGATTACTCATATGCCAAGCTCCCTTTTAAGTGCTGCTAACAATTTAGTGGTGTATCCTTGTTCTAGGTTTTCCAGATGAACGAGCCATGGAGGAGGAAGCAGAAAAAAAATTCGGATGGCTTTTCAAACTTCTCTTTATTGGAACTGCAACAATCGGTGGATACCATATCTTTCCATACTTGGGTATCCAATTTCTTTTTAAAATCATTCATCAATCACTTTAGGCAAGATTTTAACAATGGATCTTTTTAGGTGATAATCTGATACACCAGTCTGTGTCACTTCTAAATGTCAAGGACCCACTATTTAAAAGAATGGGGGCATCAAGATTAGCTCGTTTTGCAACAGATGGTATAGTTGATCTATATATTTATATATTCTTTAACAAACAATTCAATATTACCATGTCACACTAGTTGACATACAATTATACATTTTATTTTAGATGAAAGAAGAATGAAAATTGTGGAGTTGGGTGGGGCCCAACAGCTTGTGGATATGTTGGGTGGTGCTAAAGATGATAGCACACGTAAAGAAGCTTTGAATGCTATTATTGCCATTGCTCGTTCTGGTTTGAGTCTTTTCTTGAATCTTGATCTTCCTTTTGCATGTTTTGATTGCATAATTATGCAAAATTCAAACATGTGTTAGATGATAATGAAATCTCAGTGTGTTGTTTTCTAATATGTTAGATGAAGCTGTTGGGGCTCTGCATAGTGCTGGAGCAATCTCAGTCATCATGGGTACTCCACTATCCAGTGAAGATGCTGAAATCGAGAAATTTAAAGTGAAATTGCTGAAAAGATTTAGAGATCTGAGATACGATGAAAGCTCATCTTGATATTAAGCTACTTTTGTTGAATGGTTGATTAGAACTAAATAGAGTATAAGACTAGACAAAAGCTGTAAGGCCATTTAAGGTTACTAGCTTTCATAAGTTATCAATTCCGTATGGTGTATTTTCCCATCATCAAGATCTGTGGTATGATCTGAGAACTAATTTTTGATCTTTGTGTGTTTTTTTTTTTTTTTTTTTCTCCATATACTTCTTTCTAATGTTTTCAATTCTAATGTAGTAATCCATAAGTTTCATATTATCTTGATTTCAATAAATCAATATTCTCTCGTGATAAAATCTTTGAATTTGATTCGAAAACTACTCCGAAAGTTATTGTAGTTGTTAGTGGTGCCAAACAAAGAATAAAAGTAAAATCGCCATTTTTATTATTTTATATCATTAATCAACCATAAGCCTTTTGGCCTAAAAGTATAGAAAGAAATGGGAGTGTTAAGAGTATTTAAGTCATGGTAGATAGGTTCCAAGCAACATGGTGTTCTAAGTCACATGGTGGGCAAAAGGTGTATAAAAGATTCAAGATTTATAAAAAAGGCATCTTTCATCATTTGGATTTGAGATAGATATTATTTTACAAGTAACATTTCTCTCATTAATCTATCTATTTCCTGCTTTAGGCATTTAGCTATTAAACAAAATCTTGGCCTACAAAATGAGACTTTATCCATATGTTTTCTGCTTTAGCTATTAAACAAAATCTTTGCCAAAAAAAAATAAGACCGCCTTAATAATACCTTTTGAAAAAGAAAACCTCGTGACATGTAATATTATTTTAAAAATAGATAAAAGTATATTTTCACACCCTTGAATCTTTGATTAATCCTAAAGAGTTACACTATAATTTATTATTCAGTATTGACTTTCTTAGCAAGGGGCAAAAGATCGATATTTTGGTCGTAAAGGCTATCTTTCCTACACATTATCTTCTTTTGATTTCACATCCAAAATTTCAGATTATTTTATTTCTCCAAAAAAATAAACTAAAAATCAGAACAAGAAATACGTGTCCATTACTCGTTTTGGTTCCCATTTTTTTCCATGAGCTCAAACTATGAATGAGGAAAATATGGAGTATTTTGTTTAGAGTTTAGACACACACACACACCAAAAAAAAACAGAGATAATAATAACCGAGACTTCTTTTATCATCAAAGTTTGTTAGTAATTTTAATCACGTAATTACATATAAAAGATAAGGCACCTGTAAGTCATTGGTCACATTTAAAGGTAAACTATGTCAAAAAGAATTCTTCAAGGACTGTTTCTGTAAATTTTCCCGTCAACCGATGAATGTGCCACCTTTTTAAAGGTATAAAGTATAAACCGGTGGATGGAGAAAAAGCAGTACACCAATGCAGCACAACTTTAGACAGCATCCTATTGCCGTCCACCTGCCCAATCCAAACTCTTTTTCCTGCAACAAACAAAGAATCTGCGAATTGCAATTTTCTCTCTCGATTTTATCATCAATGGAGACAACAATGAACTCCATCTAAATTGCGTAATCATCCCCTACAGGTACGTATTTTCCTTTCATTCTTATGATTCGTAGATTTTATGTTTTTGCGCGATATATACGTGTTGAACGCTTTAGAATTCTCAATTGAGGTTTGAAGTCGATAATATCGATCAATCGCTAGATTTTAGTGGATGTTACGCTCAATTCTCGTTTTGTGTATGTTCCTGAAGTATTTGGGCAAGATGAGGAACTCAAATTTGACTTGATTTGACATCTCGAGTTTCGAGCTTGATTTTGTTTTAGCTATACGTATTTTTTTTTTCTGGCAACGTGAATGATCATTCGATTTTCTTCAGTAACCATTATCATTGAATTCAACACCAGTTTTGTGATACACAGTTTATGCAGTAAGGCTGGAAGGTGAAATTTGGGAGAATCATGTTGATTTTCGATGTGGTGATGATATTCAAAAGAATTTGCTCGGTCGATTTGTATCCGTATGTTTCTCAGTTCTTATAGTTACAGTAGAAAAGTGAACCATTAATAGTGATCTCTTTTTCCTTCTTACTTTACATACAGAATGATTCTCCTTGAACATAGAGCGACTTAGAGATCGGCTGTAAAGGTCAAAATATGACGTTGATGACTGAAAACAGTGAAGTTCAAGATGAAGAAGAATCAAATGGATCTAAACTCAAAACTCATGTTCCTCTAGATATCAAAACCTTCAACATACCTCATACAAATGAAGATCCTCAACTTAATGACATCCACACTTCTCCAAGCAACAAAAGAGATAATTCATCACCTTTAAATTTGCAACAAATTGTCAATGAGAGGGATCAACCCTCACACATCATACGACGTCCCAATAAAATCAGCCATGGTTTTCAGAAAATGTTGTCCAGAAAACTTGATCGAGAATACCTTCAGAACATGGCTAAAGAATGGATAAAATCCCCAATTAACATAGTTCTCTTGATCTGGATCATATGTGTTACAATCTCAGGTGCAATTCTGTTCCTTGTCATGACAGGCATGTTAAATCATCTCCTTCCACAAAAACACCAAAGAGAAACATGGTTTGAAGTCAACAACCAGATCCTCAACGCTCTTTTCACTCTCATATGTCTATATCATCACCCTCGTAGGATCCACCATTTCATTCTCCTTCTAAGATGGAAATCACATGACGTTTCAAAATTGAGAAAATTATATTCCAAAAACGGAACTTATAAACCACACGAACGTGCACACATGGCGATAGTTATCTTCCTCCTTAATCTCAACTGCTTCGCACAATACGCATTATGTGGCATAAACGTAGGGTACACCAGATCAGAAAGACCAGCAATCGGAGTAGCAATCACCATCACCGTCGCAATCGCCGCTCCTGCTTTTGCCGGCGTTTACACCATTGTTAGCCCGTTAGGTAAGGATTACGACACGTGTCCCGATGAAGAATCCCAAAGCGAAATCAGATTTTCATTTTCTGAAACTAATCCAAAATGGAGCGGAGGTGTTCTCGACATCTGGAACGACATTTCCGTTTCACATCTCTCGTTGTTCTGTGGATTCTGTGTTTTCGGGTGGAACATGGAGAGACTAGGGTTTGGAAACATGTATGTTCATACGGCGACGTTTCTTCTATTCTGTTTGGCGCCATTTTTGATATTTAACATGGCGGCGATTAATGTGAAGAGTGAGGTTGTAAGGGAGGTTTTGGGGGGTACCGGAGTGTTTCTGTGTGTGTTTGGGTTGCTTTACGGTGGTTTTTGGAGGATTCAGATGAGAAAAAGATATAATTTACCGGCGACTAACTGTAAGTTGTGGTGTTGTGGGAAAGGTGATGATGTTAGTGATTGTGTTTCGTGGCTTTTTTGCTGTTGGTGTTCTCTTGCTCAGGAAGTCCGCACAGCTAATCTGTATGAAATTGTTGAAGATAATGGAAAAAGCTCAAACAGACGGGTGGCAGCTGTGGAAGATGCAATTTTGGAACCACCATTGCGTTGTTTTGTAAACAGAGAAGAAGGTGATTAAGAGGAACATTTCTAAGTTTGTGACTTTGTGTGTTGGAATTAGAACTAAGTTTTTAGATTTATATATTTATATAGTTTCGATTATTTAAACAAATATTGTTAATATTTTTAAAAGTTCTTAAAGATGAAACATTTATTTGTTAATTAACTCGCATTACCTTTTATATTTTCTGCTTGGTTTGTAAAAAGACGAGGTGATAGCCTGATAGGTTAACCCTTAGAGGGGTTAAGGCTCTGGTACGTAATTTAAATAAGAAACAAGAACTGAGGCAATTTTCTGATCTTTTTCCTTAATGCAATCCTAGCTTTTAAAATACAAGAAAAGAAACAAAACAAGCTAATAACGTGGAAACATGGAAAAGAAAATAGAAACATAGAAGATAATGGATTCCTAAATGCAAGCAGAAAAGTAGGACATGGATGATTGCTTCAATCTTCAAGTCTTGTTGGCTTCTTGGTGATTCTCTTGGGTCGTTGTTGGGTTATTGGGTTGGACTCCTTAGATTGGTTTACTAGGCTCGTATTATCACCTTCACCTCCTCTTGAAAATCGACATTGTCCTCAATGTTGGTAAAAAATGGGAATTGTTTATGGATATCTTCAACTGGTCCCCATGTTGCTTCTTCTAAAGGTTTGCCTTCCCATTTGATGAGGATTTCTTGTTTCCCGTCTTGATTAATTCTGGTATTTAATATTGATTCAGAAAGTGTGTTGACTTGGTGGTTTTCTTCAAATCCAATTGGGTCGTCTTGTTCCGTTGAGGAAGCTATACCATGAGTTGGCTTAAGTAGCGAAACATGGAAGACTGGATGTATGCGGGAGCTGGGTGGTAGAGCCAAACGGTAGGCTACTTTCCTTATTCTTTTTTGTGATCTTGTATGGACCATAGAATAACGTGCTAGCTTGTGTGATTTTAGGTTGCCCATTGATTTTTGTCTGTAGTCTTGTAGAAGTAAGTAAACTACATTGTTGACTTGAAATTCTTTATCTAGTCGTCTTTTGTTGGCTTGTTTTCTCATTCTTTCTTGTGTCGTGTTGATCACTTCCTTGAGCAAGGCAAATGAGTCGTTGATGTTCCAACAAGGAAGAATCTATCGAAGCTGTTTTATTTTCTCCCGAGATGTAGTCATGAATCGATGTTGGATCTCTACCATAGACTGCTTTGAATGGTGACATCTTGATGAACGTGTGGTAGGGTGTGTTATACGAAAATTCAACCAAGTAAATGTACTTTTGCCACGATGTTGGTTCGTTGAAAACAAAGGCACGGAGATAGGTTTCAAGGCAACGGTTCACCACTTCTGTTTGGCCATTTGTTTGTGGGTTATAGGCACTGGAGTGGAGAAGTTTTGTACCAAGTTGTTTGAATAATTCCTTCCAGAATTTGCTTATGAACAGGGGATCTCTATCTGATACAACGTTCTCATGGTAGACCATGCAAACGATAAATTTCCTTCATGAATATGGATGATAACTGTATAGCGTTGTATTGAGAGGGTAACAAAATAAAGTGTGCAAATTTAGAAAGTCTATCAACTACAACCCATATTGTTGTTTTGCCTTTGGAATTAGGGAGGTGTATAACAAAATCCGTGGATATCTCAAGCCAAGGAGACTCTGAGACTAGTAGGGGTTGGAGAATGCCAAACAGTTTGTGTGTGGGTTGTGATCTCGTCATGCCGTTTGGCTTGAAAAACGCACCATTGAATTTTCAGTTCGTCATGAATGATCTCTTCAAACCAGCCCTTCGACGGTTCGTGTTAGTCTTCTTTGATGATATCCTAGTCGTCAGTCCTTCCTTGGATACTCATTACCAACATTTACGGGTTGTTTTTCAAAGCTTACGGGACCACCAATTTCATGCCAAACCTCCAAATGTATGTTCGCTTTGCAAGAGATCTCCTTTCGAGGACACAAAATTTCATCAACAAGAGTAGCACCATAAGCGAACAAGATACACGCAATACAACAATGGCCGCAACCCATATCCTTTACAACCTTGCACACCTACTTATGATTGACGGAATATTATCCTCAATTTGTTCCCCTCAAAATTGAAGCACCTGTAATTGATATTCTTAAACTCAAATCTTTTGAGTGGAGCAAATCGGTATAGGAGGCATTTGAACAACTTAAGACAACCATGCAAGACTTGGTGACGTTAGTCCTACCAGATTTCAAATTTCAATTTGATGTAACCACAAATGCTTTAGGAATGGCTATCAGAGCAATACTATCTCAAAACAACAGGCCGCTATCTTTTTTTAGCAAGAAGTTATGTTCCACCATGCAGAGTCAATCGACATATATCAAGGAAATGTACATCATTACGTAAGCAGATAAAAAATGGTGCCAGTACCTACTGGGCTGACGATTCAGGATCTACATTGATCATCACAACCTCAAACATCTCCTCACATAGATGATCCAGACACCAATACAATAGAAATGGGTACAAAGCTGATAGGATTCGACTTCGAGATCCATTACAATGGTGGCTCCGTGTAATATGGGTTGTAGACTCTGAGACGTTGTAGCCGGAGCAGAGATCTATCTTGGAAAAAATAGTGGCTCCGTGTAACTCGTCAAGGAGTTCATCGATAGTTGGAATGGAGAATCGATCTTGTACTGTCACTAGGGGTGGCAACTCTTGACCCAACCCGTAACCCGACATTGACCCAACCCGAAAATACATGGGTTTGGGTTGCGATGTTTGACCCGCCAACCCGTTTATTTCATGGGTTGGGTTGGCTTGCCTGTTTGGGTTCGCGGGTCAACATATATATATATATATATATATATATATATATATATATATATATATGACATTTTAAAAAATAGATATATTTAACTATTAATGAAATCTGATTTCCTTCCTATTTGTAATATATCGTATCATTGTATTCCTTCTGTATTCATATGTGACTAGTCTACGTTTGCAGTGCTCTAATCAAAAAAGAAAAAACACATGTCGTTATTTTTAGATATTCACGAGTCACAAACAATGAACACATCCATTTCGTATGAATGTTTTCATTTTTCAATTTTATTTGGATGTTAATAACTTTATGAATTTATGTTGGAAACCTTTTTTTAATGTTAGTTACTTTAATCACTTTATGATTTTATGTTGAAAAAACCTCATTTTTTAAAATACGTTGCTAATTTATTAAACATGTTATATAGGTTGGGTTCGACCCACTAACTTGTGAACCCGCAAACTCATATACTTAAACGGGTTATATGGGTTGGGTTGGGTTGAGATTTCCAACCCACCAACCCGTGACCCGCCAACCCATATATTATATGGGTTGGGTTGAGTTTATGTTTTCTAACCCGCCAACCTGAACCCAACCCAATTGCCAAGCCTAACTGTCACGACGTTTAATGCAAAATCTCTTGGAGCCGTCTTTTTTTTTTTTTTTTACTAATAGCACTAGGGAAGAAAAAGGGCTTTGGCTAGGTCTGATAACGCCATTCTGAGGCATCTCTGTTATTAATATTGTCATGATTTTTTTTGGAACTATGGATAGCAGTACGATTTAACATTGATGATGGTATTTGGATTGGTTAGGGGAATGTTGTGGTCATGTGGTCTAAATGGTGGTAGGGTATGAGGTTCTTGAAAAATCTATGAGAATTGTTAGAGTAAGGCGTGTATTTTTGGATTTTTGTGGGTGAGGGATGTAAGGCTAGTGGCCTCGTTGAATGGTGTCAGGTTGTAGTTAAGAGTATGTAGTGATGCAATAGTACCTTGACGTATTAGCGTGGACAAGGTGTTAGGGGTTACGTGTGATGGGTTTTGGCCAAAAGAACATCCTATGTGCTCATACAAACCCTAATGCTTGGATCTAGGTTTCTCTATTGTACATGCAATTCATCCAATACTATAAACCCTAGATCTACTATATGATAATCAATATAACATATGAATTAGGGTTTAGATCATACCTTGATTGTTATGTAGCAATAACAATCTCAAATCCTTCTTGTATTAACTTTAAAAAGCTTAGAGTCACAAATGTCACTCCTCTAATGGTTCACAAACACCAAGAGCAAGAGGATGAAGAAGAGAAGAGAAGGAGACACCCAAAAACCATCCAAAACCCTAAGGAGTTGCTTCCCACGTTTTTGGTGCTCTAGGGATCTTTAAATACTGAAGCTATTAGGGTTATCTAACAAGGAAACCCTAATTTGATTGCTTAAGCCCTAAGCAACCGATGGACTCCTTCCTTAAAGGCCCTATGATGATTTCTAATGGGTTTCTCCATAGAATTCGTCCACCCCTTTAATATGGAGTCCATTAGCTCAATATTCAACTATCATACAATTGACAGTTCAAGTCCCTTAAGTTTAATTAATCTCTTTTAGCCATAAACTTAATTTTTTATTAATTCTTGACTAATATTAATTAAACAATATGATTTCTCCTTTAATATATTATTCTCATAATATATTAATAAATCATATTTAATCCTTTCTATCCATAATTCATCCTATCAAGTCGCTTTGGTGAAGGCAACCCAAAAGGACCATGCACTATCGGGTCAAGTACATACCAAAATAGTTATGGACTTAGACACTAATCCAACAGTCTCCCACTTGGATAAGTCTAACAACTATTCTGCGTATGACTTCAGATCCTGATCTGCAATTGTAGCTTTCCAAAGCTGCTGTCAACTCTGATCTTATCAGATACGCGTGTCCTTTAGATAAGGGATCATATATTCCTCCATTCTAGATATCGTATAGATTGAGACATGGATCTAAATCATTCTCTCTGTCTATGTGTTGTTTCCCAAATTCAGATTTATGACGACTGACAACATACTATAATTGAACACATCAACGTAGTCCCGGCTTGGCCAAGCGCTTAGGTGTCATCACTAAATCATCGAGGGGCCCACAGATATCGCTTTCACCATACTTTGGATAAAAGGAACGGATAAACTTTCACTCAATGCCCGCTTGCACTCACTCACCAAATCACACACAACAATA